TCTTGTGTATCAAAAGGATGCTTTCAAGAAAGTAAAAAACCCACAGCACAGAAGAAAATAACTGCTAATCGTATCTCTAATGAGTCTAATGTCTAGAATATATAAAGAACTACACAGCTTTATGACCCAACTCACCACCATCAACAACACAATTTCAAAATGGGTAATAGACTTGAATAGAGTTTTCTCCAAAGCAAATATACAAATGGCCAATAAGGACATGAAGAGATGTGCAACATCCTTACTCGTTCAGGAAATGCAAATCAAAAAAGCACAATAAGATACCAAGTCATACGTACTATAATGAATAATTTGTTTAAAAAAGGAACAGAAGTGTTGGTAAAAATGAGCAATTAGAACTCTTATATATTATTATTAGGAATGTAAAATGGTACAGTCATCATGGAAAATTGTTTGATGGTTCCTCAAAAAGGTAAATATAGATTATGCATGACCCAACAATTCCACACCTAGGTATTTAAGCTCAAAGAAATGAAAACAAGGACTCAAACATATGCTGGTCCACCCATACTCAGGACAGCATTATTCAGAAAAGCCAAAAAAATGGGGAAAAGTCAGTGTAAAATCAACAGATGAATGTTTAAACAAAACGCTGCATATTCACAGAATATTATTCAGATATGAAGAGAAATAACATTGTGATACATGGTACAACATGGATAAAACTTGAAAACATCATCTTAAGTGAATGAAATACGACACAAAAGGGTGAATGTGGTATAACTCAATGTATATGAAATATCTACAAAGGCAAATTCAGACACAAAAAGTACAGGCATACCATGGGTGGAAAGGCATGTAACTCTTGATCTCAGGGTTGTGTGAGCCCCATGTTGAGTGCAGAGATTACTTAAGTAAATAAAAAAGAGGGACGCCTGGGTGGCGCAGTCGGTTAAGCGTCCGACTTCAGCCAGGTCACGATCTCGCGGTCCGTGAGTTCGAGCCCCGCGTCGGGCTCTGGGCTGATGGCTCAGAGCCTGGAGCCTGTTTCCGATTCTGTGTCTCCCTCTCTCTCTGCCCCTCCCCCGTTCATGCTCTGTCTCTCTCTGTCCCAAAAATAAATAAACGTTGAAAAAAAAAATTAAAAAAAAAAAAGTACAGGCATACCTTGGAGATACTGCAAGTTCAGTTCCAGTCTGTTGTAATAAAGCAAATACCATAATAAAGTGCATCAAGTGAATTTTTTGGTTTCCCAGTACATATAAAAATTATGTATAGGGGCACCTGGGTGGCTCAGTTAAGCCTCTGACTCTTGATTTTGGCTCAGGTCATGATCGCATGGCTCATGAATTTGAGCCCCGCATCGGGCTCTGCATCATCAGTGCAGATTCTCTCTCTCTCTCTCTCCCCCCTTCTCTCTGCCCCCTCCCCTGCTTGCATGCTATCTCACTCTCTCAAAATAAACTTAAAAAAAAAATTATGTTTACGTTATACTGTAGTCTATTAAGTTGCACAATAGCATTATGTCTAAAAAAACAATGTGCATAGACTTTTGTTAAAAAATACTTTATTGCTAAAAAACTGCTCACCAGCATCTGAGTGAACTTTCAGTGTGTCATAGTCATTTCACCAGTGGAGGGTCCTGCCCAACTGTTGATGGCTCCTGACTGATCAGGGTGGTGGTTGCTAAAGGCGGGGGGGAGACTGTGTTGACTTTTTTTTTTTTTAATTTTTATTTACTTTTGAGAGAGAGAGACAGACAGACAGACCGTGAGTAGGGGAGGGGCAGAGAGAGAGGGAGACACAGAATCTGAAGCAGGCTCCAGGCTCCGAGCTGTCAGCACAGAGCCCGATGCAGGACTTGAACTCACGGACTGTGAGATCATGACCTGACCTGAAGTCGGACACTTAACCGACTGTGCCATCCAGGTGCCCCCCTACCTGCCCTTCTTTTAGACTGTGGCGATTTCTTAAAATAAGACAACAACAGAGTCTACTGAAACGATGGGGTCTCTTCCTTTCATGTCGTTTGATAGAATTTTACCCACAGAACTTCTGTCAAAGCTGGAGTCATCTTAAACCCTGATACTGTTTTATCAACTAAGTTTATGTGATATTCTAAATCTTCCGGTGTCATTTCAACAATCCTCACAGCATCTTCACTAGGAGTATATTCCATCTCAAGAAATTGCTTCCTTTGTTCATCCACAAGAAGTAACTTCCCATCATTAAAATTTTATCATGAAACTGCAGCAATTCAGTCACATCTTCAGGCTCCATTTCTAATTCTAGTTGTCTTGCTATTTCCACATTTGCAGCTGCCTCCTCCACTGAAGTTTTGGAATCAGCTTCTGCCAAACTCCTGTTGGTATTTTGACCCCTCCCATGAATCACACACATGTTCTTAATGACACCTAGAATGGTGAATCTTTTCCAGAAGGTTTTCCATTTATTTTGGCCAAATCCATCAGAATCACTATCTATGGCAGCTATAGACTTACAAAATGTATTTTTAAGGAGTATGACCTGAAAGTCCAAATTACTCCTTGATCCATGGGCTGCAGAATTGATGTTAAGAGGCAAGAAAACAAGATTCACCTTGGTTGTATATCTCCATCAGAGCCCTTGGGTGACCAGGTGCATTTTTTTTTTTAATTTTTTTTTCAACGTTTATTTTATTTTTGGGAGAGAGAGAGACAGAGCATGAACAGGGGAGGGGCAGAGAGAGAGGGAGACACAGAATCGGAAGCAGGCTCCAGGCTCTGAGCCATCAGCCCAGAGCCTGACGCGGGGCTCGAACTCTCGGACCGCGAGATCGTGACCTGGATGAAGTCGGACGCTTAACCGACTGCGCCACCCAGGCGCCCCGACCAGGTGCATTTTCAATGAACAATAATATCTTGAAAAATTTTTTTCTAAACAGGCTTAAAATATTCAGTCTTAATATTGACTGTAAACATGCTGTAAACAGATATGATGTCATCCAGGCTCTGTTGTTCCACTGACAGAACATAGGGAGAACAGATTTAGCCTAATTCTTAAGGGCCCTATGGTTTTCAGTATGGTCAATGAGCACGGCTTCAACTTAAAGTCATCAGCTGCATTAGTCTCTAATAAGAGAGTCAACCTATCTTTTGAAGCTTTGAAGCCAAGCACTACTACTTGTCCTTTTTAGCCAGGAGAGTCCCAGATGGCATCTTCTTCCAAGAGAAGGCTGCTGTGCCTACATTGAAAATCTGTTTAACATAGCCACTCCCATTAATTACCTTGCTAGTTCTTTTGGATAACTTGCTGCCACTTCTACATCAGCACCTGCTGCTTCATCTTGCACTTGTACGTTATGGAGACAGCTTCTTTTCTTAAACATCATGAACCAACCTCCCTTAGCTTCAAATTGTTCTTCTGCAGCTTCTTCACCTTTTTCAGCCTTCACAGAATTGAAGAGAGTTAGGACTTTGTTCTGGATTAAGCTTTGGTTTGAGGGAATGCCATGGCTGATTTGATCTTCTACCCAGACCAATAAAACTTTCTCCATATTAGCAATAAGGCTGTTTCACTTTCTCATCATTTATGCGTTCACTGGAGTAGCTCTATTAATGTCCTTCAAGAGCTGTTCCTTTGCATTCACTAACTGGACCAAGAGGCCTAGCTTTCAGCCTATGTTGGCTTTTGACATGCCTTCCTGATTAAGCTTAAATCATTTCAAAGCTTTTGATTTAAACTCAGAAATGTGTGACTCTTCTTTCACTTGAACACTTAGAGGCCACTGTAGGGTAATTAATTGTCCTAATTCCTGTACTGTTGTGTCTCAGGGAATAGGGAAGCCTGAGGAGAGGGAGAGAGATGGGGGAACAGCCTGTTGGTGGAGCAGTCGGAACACACAACATTTATCATTTATTAAGTTCACTGTCTTACATGGGTGTGATTTGTGACACCCCAAAACAATTACAATGATAATATCAAGGATCACTAATCACAAATCACCATAATAAATATAATAATAAAACTTGAAATATTACAAGAATTACCAAATGTAGCACAGAGACATGGAGTCAGCAAATGCAGTTGGAAAAATGGCGCCCACAGACTTGCTCAATGCAGGGTTACGACAAACCTTCAATTCATTAAAAAAACACAGTATCTGCAAAGCGCAATAAAGTGCAGTGCAGTAAAATGAGTTATGCTTACACATTAAAGGTTACGGGGGGCTGTGGGGAGGGGGAAATGGGGTGGTTGCTCTTAATGGGTATAGAATTTCTATTTGGAGAGATGAAAAATTATGGAAAAAGACAGTGTAAATGCTGTACAATACTCTAATCAATGCCACCAAATTGTATACTTACAATGGGTAAAAAAATGGCAAGATAAACCAGCCTCAACCTCACGAACTGTCCTGGGCCCAAATGACAAATTATTATAACATGTTAACAAGTAGTCTTTCAAATATAATAAAGCACCAGATAGAATGGAACGACTTCTACACACCTAGAGTGACATATTCAATGTGTGTTAATAGCATCATTTGGAAGGAAAACAAAAACGCATCCTCTCTTACCTTTAAAACCATGTCAGTTTAAGATGAATCATAAGTGTTCAAGGTTCAAAATCTCTACATTTCAATTCTCTTCATTGCAAAGTTTTCAGGATCTGAATGGTGGTGCTCAAGTATCAAAAAAAAATACCAAATACCTTAATAAAATGAAGAAACATCCCTAGGACTTCCTAGGAAGAAGAATTTTATATAACTACTGGATATATTTTTTCATGTTTTATCTGCAAGAATATCAAACTTATGGATAAATATATAAAATTTGCAAAACATTTTTGTAACCTATAAAATGAAAAATGTGACAACTTTGAAGAGTGCTATCCTATAAAATTATGGTAGAGATTACTAAATGAACGGCCAACACAAATATAAATTAAATATCATTACTGACACAGTGAGACTTCATTCTCTTAAAAATGAAACCTATAAAGGAAAATGATCCCGTTCTGCACAGCCTTCTTCCCCCAGAAAGAACGGTGACTCAACAAAACCACATTTTAACAACATGAAGATCTTGTTATTATAAATTTCAAAACAAAATGGAGGAATTTCCACATAATATTTATAACCTTCAAAGTACAATATTAATACATGTCTGTCAGTTAGAAATAACAGCAGTTTGTTAGGCTACAGGGTTTAACATAAAACCAATTTACAAATGTGAAAAGCAGTAGTGGTCCAATATTCACCATTACACATGAATCTGTTTCTTCCAGAAAATTTTTTTTAAAAATTAAAATTTCTGTCTCATGAAATATTAAAATAACACCCAAACATGCCACAATCACTATTCACAAATAAAGTTAAAATGAAATATACAAAAATTCACTTAATACTGTTAAATAACAATAAACTACAAGATTTCCTGAACAGAAATGGTAGGACCCCTGAATGTTTTACAGTGAATATCAGGAAAAAAATTAAGTTATGATTATTTTCATGATATATAAGCCAAAAATTTACATGACCATTTCAAAATATACCAATTAAGATTTGTAGTTTGTAAGATGCACTAAACAAATAGTCCTTAAAAGTTAACACAAATGCTTAAAACACTTACCAACACCAAGGCGTGTTTATGATGTTCAAAGAGATGCATAATTGAAACTGTAATATTTACTATCTCTGATAAACACATTAATACCTACAATGCTTTAAAACAATCCTCAGTTCTCCTTTCTGTCATTTGTATTTATCATGGCTCATTTCAAAGACATATTACAGCTTTTAGCTGATTCCAAGTGAATGTTATTAAAACACACGCATATAGACAGCCCCCAAATGAAATAAATGGCTCCCCCCAAAAGTATCATCCTTTCTAATAAAAGAACTATATTTAAAATGAAAACAAGACCTCACATATTTCACTGGACTTGTATGGTTTAGTTTTAACTAAATTAAAGCACAATGTAAAATAGGTAAGTGTATTAGTATACACATATCCAATAATATGCAGTAAATATTTCTAAAATGAGGCAAGGTAAAAATAAATAATTTTGGTGCTTTAAATTACTGGTATCTAATGTGAGATCCCCATGTCAGGTATTCACTTGCTTGAATCAACCTCTGCATCACATGCTTTCCTAAACATGATGTACTCATCAATTTTTTAGCTACTCTATTTGCTGATGTTCAATGAAAGATTATACAGCATGAACTTAAGAGTGTTCAAGATGGCTCACTTATTTTACTGTTAAGCAAAGCTAAACTTACATTCCAGGAAACACTGCAGTTTAATTTTAAAAACAAACAAGAAATGCAGCAGTAAAACAATTCATGGGGAGAAACAGATGCATTCACATCTAATAAAGCCACTGCAACTTCTTCAGGCATTTAACTGTTGTGTTAAATAAACAGACAGTAGTTATTTAGCAGCAATGATTCCGCAATAAATAATGCACTGTGTTTCTCAGTCCTGCACAAAAATTGCAGCTACAGTTACATCAATAGCTGTAACCTACTGGCTCTAATGGCAGAGAAGACCTTAAAACCAACTGTACAAAAAAATTGTCACACTGTGACAACAAATATAAAAACAATCTGTAGGTCTGAAATAAAAAGACTCCACTGTGAAGAGGACAGTGTAGACAAACGGAGATTCCAAGTCCACCAAAAGAAATAATTGCCTTCAGATCTGAGTCCTTGATTGATAAGAAAGGCTGGGGGCTGGGCTTGAAACCATGTTATCAGACTTAAAAGAGCATGCTCTGTCTTCTGTTCTTCCCATGTCCTAAAATATAAAGTCATTTTATGAGGCAGTTCAAGGTTCAGTTTTATCCCACATACAGTATTTGGTGACTCTAGGAAGCTAATGTTCCCACCAGCAAAAACTAATCTTCCACGTAAGAGTGATCAGCACTGTCTGAAATGACCCTTTTGTTGATGGGGTCAGTCTACAGCTTCTATGCTTCGAAGTGATGAACCTGATGACTAGGGAAGCATAAGATGTGTCTTCTGCCTCAGGTACCAGGAATGGCGTGTGCAGTGATCAAGCCAGGCCACTTGTAAAAGGTCTTTGTGCCATCTGCAGCTTTCAGGATCCCTGACTTGACTGAGTCAGATTTCTCTCTGAAGAATTACTGAGCTGCCCACATCATACAGAAAAGTGAGTACGTGCAATGCTAAACATACAGTTGTGGAATGCACTGTACATTGGTTTTTACATCAATAATTTTACTGATCAATTTATAAACCAAAAACTTAGTTCCACGCAAAATTTCATGATCGACACGTGAAATGGTTTATGACAAACACACCTGTCTCTGGATAAGAAGAATTTCGAAAACCCGGGTCCTTTTGCAACTGAATCTCTTTCAAACTGAATATTGATACACCTAAAATGCACAGACAAAAACGATCAGGTAAAGGTCTGACATTATTAAAACAAATATAATCCAACTATCGACAGAATTGTTTAAAAATGTATACTGATTCAACATGAAACATTTATGCTACATTCACAAGGTTACAGCCTTCAACTATTTTTCCCCTTTGTCCCAATGTTTTGAGTAGAAAACCAAACAAAATAATCTCCCCTCAGAAATTTTCCCCCACAATTCTGCTCTGAGTCACACTTCCACTATATGTTTCTCTTCGAGTATGTACATACAGAGAATATACACTGTCTATTTCTAGGACCTACTGGGGTTGGGGAGACCTAATCAAAAGGCATTACTTGGTTTTTATTCTCTCTGCCTTTACCTGTCTTCTTATGATGGCATGAAGGTATCAGGGCCTCAGACTATCTTCAGATTTTCAGAGAAAAATAAGAAATAGGTTTGTATAACCATAATTGCCTACCTCAAATTGCCAACCATAATTGCCTGATATTAACAATGAAATGTAAATATCATCTTAAAAACACTTGTAATTCTCTTTTCATTTCCAATCTTTCTTTTTCCAATCTCTTTCTCATTTCCAATCTCTGCCAGAGAGGTAGTCTTTCATTAAAAAATATCCAGTAAGCTCTAAGTTAAAAGTCTTAAGGATTCTTGATTCCAAACAGCAAATCTCAGTTCCTAAATATTCTAATTCTCCATTCACCTTACTCAGTTTTAAAGCAAAATGTTGAGGTAATTTTTAAAAAGGATCTTATAAGTAAGATGAAGCAGCCACCTCAGGCATGAGAAATCAGCTCTTTTAGTGACTAACAATATGCTCACCACTGTCACGAGGATAGTAAAGTTAGAGTGACCACAGCAAAGAAAAATCATCTTTATATCTTGAAAACGAAATCTACTTTCACAAGGAAACAATCGTATGTTTTGGTTGTGCTCCGTTACTCTTTGCCTGAAATCCATTTTTAGAAACTCTGAATCAAAGAAATCTAGATTGGGCCTAATGACAATGTCTATCATCAGATGACATTTTCCAATTTAAGTCCAGTAAGATTAATAACCCATGTCTAAGTACTATTGATTTCTTACAAAGCAGTGGCAATGTGCTCAGTGTTAAAAAAAATAAATTAAAACATAGGCAAAGAGGACATACACCTCCCTTCAAGGAATTCTGATGTACTTACAAAAAGAGTTAAAATTTTAGGCTTAAAAAACAACAATCTCTTCCCAAACCCCTAATTTACCACCCAGTCTCCTACCCTGGACAAATGAAAATGGGAGGAGGGGACTTTAGAATTTCTCTTACTTTCAGGTAAAGTATGTATTCTTGGTCCCAGACTTCGAAAGTACACATGCTTCATGGCCTCTTCTGCTGAAACCCGTTTCTTAGATTCGTACTGTGAAAAAGCGAAGAACTGCTTCATTAACTTTTTCTCTAAACATCATGAGGGGAGGTAGATTAGCATGTAGAGCTAATAAGATGATTTAATACAATGACTGTTTTTTAAGAACCAACTTGGATTACACCAGATATACTCTAATGTGAGTACTACTGCGATTATGTAGTAATGACTTTATCTAGTTCCAAATTTCCAAGATGAAGTTAAATCTTCACTTTTATAAAAACTTAGCCTTCCCGTATTTTCTTAAGTGATGAAAAATTAAAATACCTGACCTTTGGTGTTACTTTTCCTCATGAACACCAAAGTATCATTGGAAATATACCCAATACTTTTATGAAAGATATTTAAATTACCTATTGGATACCCATTTCCCTTTGTTCCTTGATGAGATAACATAAATTTGTATAAGGTGTCCATGCTTCCAAGTCCAACAGACCAACATGAACCATGACTATTCTAAGTTTAGGCTAATTATGATAATCTTGCTCCCCAATTCCCACCCTGTCTTACAATTAATGTTCTGGCCAACGAGACTTATGAAGAAGCCTTGCAGGGGTTTCTGGAAAAGCCTTTGCTTTCCAGATACAAGAGGACTATTATGGCTGACACCCTTATCCTCTCTCTTCTTCCTGCTTTGAATAGAAGATATGAATGGTATTTGTAGGTGCAGCAGCCTGTAAGGCAGTAAGTATAAGGAAAAGAAAGAGAACATAAATTACAGACAACATGCCCTTGACACAGTTTTGGTGCCAGAAGGTGACAACCTCAGACCATTCTAGGGCACAAGAGACCCAGACACATTAAGTGAAACCATTATTTATTATTATTATTTTTTTATCTAAGCATATGATTTAAGCATGCCAGATACTACCATAAGTAATCTTATTTAATGGTCATGACAGATATTTAAGGGAGGTATTCCTGATCCCATTCTACAGATGCAGAAACTGAGGCTTAACAATTACAAAGATGTAACTTACCTGAAGAAATTTTGTTATCAACTCGATTCCTTCAGAGTCTAACCTAAAACAACAAAAAAGTGGCAATTTATTCTTTTATCTTAGCTGACAGTAACTTTTCAAATAAAACTATTTTCCAAGTGTTTTAATCTGCAAACATTAAGTGCTCTACAATAACCACTCTTTTTGCTTTCAAAAGACTCAAAAGTGCTACACTTAAGACTTATCTTGCCACTTGTTCAAGAAGAAAACAGAAAAAACTAGGTTCCAATTCAAATTTTCCATAATGAAGAACAAATCAGATTACTAAAGATTTTAAAAAGCACTATTCTGTCTCAAAGTAATCTCTATTATCAGGATAGCTTAAGTAAAGTGTATCATTTTCATAGTGTTCTACGAAAGGCAAGCTACAAAAGCATTTTCTTATTATATAGGTTAAAAAAGAAACAAGTGACCCCAAAATGTGTCACTGTGGTTCACAATAAACACAGATGACTCATTCAACATATTTTTACACAACAGTCTACTAAGAACTAGGTACTAGAAGCTATGAAGTTCAATTTATTTTTTTGAGACAGAGAGAGTGTGAGGGAGAAAACACCTATAAATCAGGGAGAGACAGAGAGAGAATCCCAAGCAGGCACCATTCTGTCAGGGTAGAGCCCAATGTGGGACTTGAACTCAAGAATCATGAGATGGTGACCTGAGCTGAAATCCAGAGTTGGGATGCTGAACCAACTAAGCCACCGAGGCACCCCTATAAAGTTCAACTGCCTCAATAACATCATAAAACTTCATTAAAAGTTAGAGCTACACAGGTAGAATTTAAGAAACAAAACAGGTGAACATAGGTGAAGAGAAAAAAAACTAAGGGAGGCAAACCCTAAGAGACTCTTAACTTTAGAGAACAAACTGAGGGTTGCTGGCGGGGAGGTAGTTGGGGAATGGACTAAATAGGTGATGAGCATTAAGGAGGGCACCTGTTGTCATGAGCACTGGGTGTTGTATGTACATGATGAATCACTAAATTCTATGCTTGAAACCAGTATTACCCTATATTTTTACTGGAATTTAAAAAAAAACATAAATAAATCAATACGTGAAAAATAAAAAAAAAATTAGAGCTACAAAACCAATGAAGCTGTCGATAAAGACAGATAATTATAGTGATGATATTCATATAATGAGCAGTAGAGGGTTTGGGGACTATCTTAATGGGATAATCTCTTGATCAGAAACCATAGGTTCTATTTTGCACTGCCTTTCACTGGCAATATATTTTCCCCAAGTGCTCTTAATGGGTTCCGTGGATGCTATGGCCTAGACATTTTCCAGACTCTTCTAATCCTTTGTAGTTTGCCATTCTGACAGATATCCAGAGCTCCTTGGGCACAAACTAGGGGTTAAGGTCATGGAGAACCTGCTTTAAAGAAGAGCTTCAACTTTCTGCACTGGACATTACAATAGAAGCAACGTATAAATTACAAAAATAGGATTTATGCTACTCAGAAGGAAGAGACACACAAAAAAAGCCCCGCACATATTATTCTTCCTAAGAAAGTCTACTTAGAATGTTATTAGTTGCTATAGTAACAATAAGAACATCAATTCACATAAGTACTTTAAAAATATTTTTGGTATCTGAATTTGTTTTTCTACTCTCTCTAGCTTGAGAACAAATGGAATTAGAGCAAGTATGTTATACTGTCAGCAATGAGAATGGCTTTGATTAAAATAGACATTGACCTTATTTGGTACCTGGGTGTACTCTTTGATTTTTCTAAGGAAAGATGAAAAAATATAGTCAAAGGGGTTATTCTCTGCTACATACTGAAAATTTAATAATTCCATAAATAAAAATTTCTGACTGACATTTTAATGGGGGTTTTAAATGGATCTGGGGATAGATCTGAGAAGAAATTTTAATGAAATGGCCAAAATTTAGGATATAAGTGTCAGAAATAGTTTACATTCCTCAAATACAAATTAGATCATTAACATTGGCCAAATACTGAAAGGTCATCTTGTGTCCGAGTCAAGATTTTACTTATAACATTTCCTTAGGTTTTTTTAAGTAAATATAGAATAATCCCATACAAAGCAAAACAGAAGTTTCATCATGGTCTTCATGGTATTGAAAAAGATATTAACCAATGTCTTCTTTCTGAGAAACGAAATAACCTACATAAACTCTAGAATTCTAATACAGTTGCTTTTACATTCATTTTATTTATAGCTCAATTCTGTGATTTACAGATCTTGATCTCTGAATTATAAAATTAATCTGACACAAGGGAGGAAAAAATTCAATTAAATTAGATTCTAAAATATTTAAGAACTGTATGTATCATATGTATTTTTTCCTAAACCCATCTGTGGCTAATGCTTCAAGAGAATGGAAAGAATCAAGTGAGTTTTCCACCCTTTAACGTAAAGAAAAAGAGGGGCGCCTAGGTGGCTCAGTCGGTTACACGTCTGACTTCGGCTCAGGTCATGATCTCACTGCTCCTGAGTTCAAGCCCTGTGTGGGGCTCTGTGCTGACAGCTCAGAGCCTGGAGCCTGCTTCGGATTCTGTGTCTCCCTCTCTCTGCCCCTCCTCTACTCAACGCCTGGTCTCTCTCTCTCTCTCTCTCTCTCTAAAATAAACACTAAAAACAAAAGAAAAAAGAAAAAGAAAAAATACCTGGGTGCATGGTTAATGAGAGGCTGTGGTTTGTATTTTGGAAAGTTGTAGTTCTTGAACTCATCATTTGAAGAAACACCCGGCCAAGTTTCCTGAGATGGTGTTCCTGAATTAAAAAAAAAAAAGTATAAATATATAAAAATGTGTGTGTGTGTGTATATATATATATATATGTGCAAATATATATAAATAAGGACAAATGAGAAAGTGTCTTAAAGAACACTTTATATTTAGTAGATGATTTGACTATTTCAACTGAAAGCAAAATGACAGAAACAGTAAACACATATGGACCTTTTTTTGGACTATGCAATGATGCCATAAAAATGACGCCACCTAAATGACATCTAACCTATAGATATTTCCTAATAATATACCAAAGGTCAATTTTCAGTAATATTTTTCTCTGTTCTTCCACAAAATTTTTATTGCAAAGGCAGAACTCAGTAAATGAAAAGAAGTTACCTAGAAGGCTCTATCTTTATAATTACGCTAATTATAATTCTTTTTTTATTTTAATCAGTAGTGGTTTTCTTAAGCTTTTAAGTAACCTCTACACTCATTGTGGGGCTCCAACTCCTTACCTGGATATCAAGGGTCACAAATCCTACACTGAGACAGCCAGGCACCCCAACTAATTATAATTTTTGTAACAGCTCTTTGTTAGTCTCAGTACCACATTTTAAAATATGTAGTCTTATCCAGCTAGTCAATTGCAGGTAACAAATTACTGGGAAAATATTTCTATTACCTAGCAGTCGGAAAATTAAGTGCAGTTCATCTTCCACAGTTGATCCTGGAAATAGAGGTCTTCCAGAAGCCATTTCAAAGAAAATGCAACCAACACCCCTTTAAAATATATCATAAAAAAATGAGCAATCAATCCATTTACATATTAAGAAGCACAATTATCTTTTCCTTAAGATTGCCTTTCTGGAGAATTTTGTATTAGCCTGATGGAAAACCTCCTGCACATATTTTTTTCAGCTCCAACTGATTTGTTAACATTTATCTTATTTGTCTCAACTTCCATCTTGCTATATCCATTGCTCCATGAGCCTTAAAATGTCCAACTCTCCTCTGCACGTCCCTTGAAGAATAACACTAACAATAGCTAATAGTGATTGAATGCTTATTATGTCTTAGGTAGCAGGTAGCAGAGATAGGGAGAAACAAATGATCAGAGATGGGTTTTTTGTTGTTTTTTTTTTTTTTTATTTTTTTTTTTTTTCAACATTTATTTATTTTTGGGACAGAGAGAGACAGAGCATGAACGGGGGAGGGGCAGAGAGAGAGGGAGACACAGAATCGGAAACAGGCTCCAGGCTCTGAGCCATCAGCCCAGAGCCCGACGCGGGGCTCGAACTCACGGACCGCGAGATCGTGACCTGGCTAAAGTCGGACGCTTAACCGACTGCGCCACCCAGGCGCCCCTTGTTGTTGTTTTTTTATCTGAGAGACAGATAAAACCATGAGATCATGACCTGAGCCAAAATCAAGAGTCAGGTGCTTAACTGACTGAGCCACCCAGGCACCCCTCATGTGTTAGAACTCTTTAATTGTTGCTTATATTGTGGCTCTTTAAAATAATATCCTCTTATAAGTCAGATATCTATCAGTATGCCCTGTACCAATGGCTATATTCTTTCAAAATTATAAATGGCAATAACATGTGCATATATTTACCACATGTCGATCTGTGTTGAGTACTCTGAGGAACCAAGAAGCACATCAGGCGGCCGATACCACAGTGTGACGACTTCATTTGAGTAGGTCTTTGTGGGAACTGACTTGGCTCTGGCTAGCCCTTCACGGGGAAAAGAAAACAATTAAGAAATGGCTGTAACAGAATCCCCAGCCCATAGCCTCACCATGACTCCAGTCACAAGGATGTCCAAGATAGCTGCTACTCTGTAGTTTCTTGAAATTTAACAAAATCAGTTTTAAGAATTTTTCTTGAGTGTGAATAGTCTCGGGTCAGCAAATCCTTATGTAATTAATAACAATTCCACAATCAGAGCCTATGCTTGCTTTTATGAATGTAAAGGCATCTGATAATCTGATGGGTTAATCTAAACTTAAGATATTTTTCTTCTATGAATCATGATGCCAAAATTATTTCCAAGCTGAACTTAAAATTAACACAAAACAGGTCAATGACACAGAGATAAACAGTTTTACCTTTTAGGCTTTTGTTACTTTTTTAAACCCAAGTCCAATTTTCATTTGCTATACCAACCTTCGTTTTCTTGGAATAAATTACACTGCTGCTGTGTACCTTAAATTATATATAAGGACAGTTTTAAGTAAGATGGACCATGCTGCCTTTGGATATTATTAATTAATGTATTAGATTATTAACTAATGTAAATGTCGTTCCTTTCCAATTTAAAGTGGAATTCACTGATTATCGAGAAACAAAGGCAAGAGTTCACAACTTTATCCCTTGAGCCACTGGCACGAGAGTTGTTTTTACTTCTCTAAGCCTCCAAATTCTAATAACTTTAAGAAGCAACTTTAAAAGACAGCTGAAGAAATATAAACTCATTCTAACATATAGTTTATTTCAAATAACTCATTTATGTATAACTTTATATATTCGATTAAAACATCAAATAAGAAAAATGGAATTCAAACAAAAGGAATTCAACACTTTAGTAAACTAGATAAAGTCACTCAAATAAAAGTAGAAATTTTAATAATTAGGCAGCACTCATACTATTTTTGTTTAGTACAACAGCTAAAGGGTGTAATTGGAACAATGTTGACACTATCTTATTTAATTACCAGTCTTATTCTACCAATCCAGCTTTGTAAAGTAAGTTCAACAAATAATTTTCCTACCAACTTTGTAATTAGCAAGATGGGGGCAACTTTCTAATTTCTCTTCCTGATATTCATAGTGGGTTATTTAGGGGCAAAGGACAGGGCTACAAGTTTGTTTATTCTATATCCTGTATGTATAGCATCAAAGCAACTGCAAGTTATAGTTTCCTCAATACCTTACTCTCCTGCTCCTGAGAGAATTCTGAACTGGGGTGCTTGTTCAAATAGTCTCCTGGTTCACAATTAGAATTTCAGTAGTGGCATGAAATGAAATTATCTCTTCCAAACCAAGTTAACTGTGATATGATATAATTATACAAGCCATTTTCTACTACTAATGAAATGTTTGTCTGTATTAGTACATTCTACACCTGAATTTCATCCATCACAGGAAAAGGGATAGAATTTTCATAGAGATCACAAACAATTTACAAAAAAAATACTCGGAGTGCCTGGGTGGCTCAGTCAGCTAAGCATCTGACTTTGGCTCAGGTCATGATATCGCCATTCCTGAGTTCAAGCCCTGTGGCAGGCTCTGTGCTGACAGCTCAGAGCCTGGAGCCTGTTTCAGATTCTGTGTCTCCTTTTCATTCTCTGCCCCTCCTCCACTCACACTCTGTCTCTCTCTCAAAAATAATAAACATTAAATAAATTTAAAAAAAAACAAAAACAAAACAATACTCAAAGTTGTATGACCCTCCTTCACTTGCAGTCCTGAAGGATATTTACTACTTAACCAACAAAAAATAAGTAATTAAAGCAGAGCCAAAATTGACTGTACTACCTCATGGAATAATCAGAATTTCTTACTGACCTGTGAAAAGACATAATTTACTTGGTCTGCTTTGTTAGAAGCAAGATTTAAAGCACTCTCCCCAAAAAGTAAGTTTTTGATGGCCTTTGCCATTTTTTTTTTTTTTTTTTGCATTTATAATAGCCAAACAGGGTTTCTCTATCACTGCTATTCATTTTGGGATTAAGGAACAAGGAGCAGTAAATGCACTTTGGCCAAAAAAAGAATGAAAGAGAGAGAAAATAACAATTATAAGGAAAGCAACAACAAAACTGTGCCCGAGACTATATAATCTATGTGAGCATATATGAATAATTTGTAATTTCTTATTTAAACACATGTGACCTACCCATTTCCTTTTTAAGGAAGTAAAAACAAATACCAATCTACTTTCAAACAAACAACAAAGTGTTAAATGAGTAAAAGCATAGGAATTTCCTGAACAAACTCACCACTTAGTGAATTTTTAATCTTTTGTTAACAAAGCAATACTTGAGAGACTTAAAATTGTCAAATTTAATGCAATACTCCAAAAGTAAAACTACTATAATCACTTATGAAAAATGATAAATGCTAATTATGAAAACTGCACTGGCTTTTTATTACTTTTTAATTTTTTAATGTTTATTTATTTTTGAGAGAGAGACAGAGCACAAGCAGGGGAGGGGCAGAGAGAGAGGGACAAGGAATCTGAAGCAGACTCCAGGCTCTGAGCTGTCAGCACAGAGCCTCACATGGGGCTTGAACTCACAAACTGTGAGATCATGACCTGAGCTGAAGTCAGATGCCTAACTGAGCCACCCCTGCACCCTTGCACTGGATTTTTAAAACCAAATTCTATTAGAGTACTGAAACTCTCAAAATGTAGAATATTAAAAAAAAAATCAAAAATCAAAACAAGAAAGCTATTATACAAAGTTTCTCTAATATAACAAAGTTTACTTCCTAGAAGCATAAAGCATATGTAATTTCATTAAAACTGAGTAGCTAAACAGAGAGAGATAAACAGCTATTATTTAAGCAATAATTAATTAGTTAATAAGCATATAAATAAGTACAAAGTCATGGTGACAGGCATATTAAAGAACCCTTTTTCAGAAGTGGCATTTAAACTCTTTAGTCTCAGGACTCTTTTTATTATAATTTAAAATTATTGAAGACCCAAAGAGCTTTTATTTATATAGATTATATTTATTGATATTTGCCATGTTAGAAAAACTGAGAAAATTTAAAACGTATTCATTTAAAAACACCATTCATTATATATTAAACATGAATTTTTATGAAAAAGATCTTTTTCTACAGGAAAATAAAAATTAGTACAAATGGCCTTGTTTTATATTTTTGTAGTCTATTTTAAATTTTTTAAATGTTTATTTTTGAGACAGAATGTGAGTAGGGAAGGGGCAGAGAGAGAGGGAGACACAGAATCTGAAGTAGGCTCCAGGCTCTGAGCTGTCAGCACAGAACCTGACGCTGGCCTCGAACCCATGAGCTGTGAGATCATGACCTGAGCCGAAGTTGGATGTTTAACCAACTGAGCCACCCAGGAGCCCCTGTAGTCTATTTTAAAAGAAGACTCTTAGATGCTCACATCTGCTTTTATATTCAACCTGTTGGGATATGTTGCTTTGTTTGAAGTATATGAAGAGAACCAGATCTCACACAGAAATGAAGCTGAAAAGAGGAAGAACATTTAAATAGCCTTTCTGAAAACTGCATATTCTTCTTTGATACTGAATCAGATTTAGTTTCTTAAAGATTAGATGGTAACTGAAATCATATTAGTAAACTTCTCATACTCGTTACATTAAAATTCATTGGTCTGTCTTCCACTATAAGTGGATCTTTTTACCCAGGCATGATTCTATATCATGTAAGTATTAGTCATCTGGAATATATTGATTCCCTAAGTTATACAGATATTCCAAATATTTACATATTTCTTTAGCATATCAAAAAATATTTCTTAATGTCACCACTGATCTCATCAGCAATAAAGTCTTTAAGTATCAGAAAAATATCAAGCTCAATGTGGCAGGTCCAAATTTCCAACATCTAATTTTTGCTTTAAAACTCAAACCTTCCCATTGGCAAGAAATACGATAGGCTCACTTCATTTCAAAAAAAACACCTGCCAAATATGTAAGTCTGAGTGCCCATACTTTGTCAGTCATTTTTCTCAAGTAAAAATGGTGTTCCTTGAAAAAAAGGGTTAGTTCAGTTTGCATTCAAATAGTCACACAAGCACTATTCCTTGAGATACAGTATTTCCACATACAACAAACATGTTTTATGTATACTTCTCATTTCATCACATAAAATACTACAAAGACATGTAAAGTTGGAGATTTAATAAAGTTAATAAATTTTACTGCTTCATCAAACACCTTTTTATATAGAATTGACACTTTTTTCCTACAAGCGTATACTGGTGAAGAACACAATGACTAGTAAGTACAATCAGGTGCCACTGCCTTGATTTAAATGAAGGCATTAGCAGCTCTACTCCTTACTGCTTTTAGATTATCACTGCAAATACTGACACAGTGGAAAAGGCAAGTAACAATATGATTTTGATGACAGATACTTTTGGAGATGCCCTGGAAGGGTCTCAAGATGGGTCCACACCTGAGAACCCAGGCCTTTTAGCATTCGTGAACATAACTCACCCACCTAAGTTTTGTCAAATATCTTACTCCGTGGGCTACAGAGAAAATTTCCAAACTCACATAAAAGCAATCACACAGTGTCAACAGTTGTTCTTATCAATTTAACCACCTAGATAGAACTATTTATAAATATCTCATATATTCCATACCAAAATCTGCTAGCTTTAATTCTCCTTTTTCATTAATGAGTAGGTTCTGTGGTTTCAAGTCTCGGTGCAATACCTTTCTTCTGTGGCAATATGCCAAACCACGTAGAATTTGGTACAAAAACAGCTACAGAAACAAATAAACAGAAATTAGTCTTACAAATAATAAGATATACTTTGGTAAGCATGCTGTGGTAAACAAAAAACAGGCTTAGGATAGTCAAAGAAAAAAAACGCATCCTTAAGTACAAAGCCTTTCCTTATGTAGTTTTCTGAATTTTATAATTTATTATTCTATTTGAAGCATCTATTTTCCAGTCTGACAATTTCTATGAAAATAAATATTAAAAATAAAGTGAAATGAAGCTTTGTCCCCATAGTAATCATCCATTTGTTATAGAAAATGATTTAAAATAAAAAATATATATAAAATATATCCTCATAAGCTTACAGGCCTACTAAGCCTTATAGGTTGATTATGATATTCTGGCAAAACAACTCACCAACCTCTACCCATCCACCAAAAATACCTGATCTGGGACAGTGTCTTTATTTTTTTTTAATTTTTTTATTTTTTTTAAATTTTTTTTTCAACGTTTATTTATTTTTGGGACAGAGAGAGACAGAGCATGAACGGGGGAGGGGCAGAGAGAGAGGGAGACACAGAATCGGAAACAGGCTCCAGGCTCCGAGCCATCAGCCCAGAGCCCAACGCGGGGCTCGAACTCCCAGACTGCGAGATAGTGACCTGGTTGAAGTCGGACGCCTAACCGACTGCGCCACCCAGGCGCCCCTGGGACAGTGTCTTTAAAATAAGGCAATGGAATTGGTGGTTTTATAAAAATTCTGAGGTGTCAGAGAGAATGGTGCTGCATAGCCCTGGCAAATTACGTGCTATAAAAATAACCTAAACCAGCTTCTATCACCCACCCTCTGGGTACTTTACTTTCTGCACCTCCTACTCAGCCTTCAAAATCTGCTATGATTCAGAAAAGGGAATTAGCACAGTAGAGCTCTGAATGATTGTCTGAAAAAAGCAATTCCTAGATTTTGGTGGAAAAAAGGATGTGGAACACAGAAGGTCTTCAATTCTCTGGAGTTGACAAAGAAGAGTCTCAAGTTCAGAGGGTCTAAGAATATACCCTTGGTTTACTTGTAGGTAGAAAACACAGCATTAGAACATCAAGAATAAGTCAGTGCAGGAGGGGAAAAACAGCCCAAAGAAATTCCAAGCAGCAGTCTCCACACACTACATATTTATGTTTTGAAAACTCTAAAATTATGATTTCTATATATTCCTGTTACTTTCTATGTTTGGAAAATCTAAGAGCTATTTAAACAAAACTTAAAATGACACACTAAAGCATACCTTTACATTGTGCATACTCATGATGTTTCCACAGTCATCCATGTACTGTTTTAGATCTTTATCCTAAAAAAATATAGTGCTTTACTATGTGACACATACTTCCCAGAAGGCATGAATGATTTACTTAATAGTATTTAATTTTTAAAAGTGTTTTTTTTTTTTTTGAGTAAAGATATTGAATGTACAACACATAATTTAATTAAATACTGATAATTAAACAATAATGCCCTGGAACTGTTAAAACACTCAATTTCCTATGTTTTATTACAGCAAAAGTAAATACTGAATTTTTGTTAAATGCTTACCAGATATTCAAATACCAGAGTCAAAGATTTATCTGTGTGAACAATGTCATGTAAGGTTACTATATTTGCATGTTTTAGATCCTTTAATAGTGAAACTGGAAAACAGAAAAGAAAGTCAATTATTCAGTCTGCAGTAGCCAGACTATAAAAACCTGAAGTATAACACATGAACTGATTGAGTTTAAAATTCTCTTAAGTGTAAAACAATAATTCACCAAGAGGACCTGTAGTACAAATTTTAATAGAATTCAGTTTTTTCTTTTCTTTTATGGTTTTGAGTGTGATATTTTTAATATTTAAAATTGTCCTCCATATTACAATAATATTCTCCATAACTGTTTTTTTCTCAAATACTAACTTACTGAGACTTCTAAGATCTAGATATAGTTGAAGGTACCAGCTGTTTTCCTTCCAAATTGCTAATCGGTTTCTTCAAGCCATTTTCTGGATTATCTTTTTAAAGATACAGAACTTTTTTTACTTTTTTTTTCTTTTAATGTTTATTTAGAGAGAGAGAGAGAGCATGAGAGCAAGACCATGCACACGAGCAGGGGAGGGGCAGAGAGAATCCCAAGCAGATCAGTGCAGAGCCCAACGCAGGGTTCGACCTCACAAACCATGACATCGTGACCCAAGCTGAAACCAAGAGTTGGAAGCTTAACCGACCCACCCAGGCCCCCCTAGATAATTAACCTTTTTTAAAAAAAATGGTATCATACTATTTACATTCGGTATATACTAATTTATAGTTGCTTTTTCCCATAGATAGTATATAACATTTCCCAATGTCAAATATTTACCTATGACCATAATTTTTAATGACTTCATAGTATTTCACCATAAGCTATACAATAATATAATTATGTTAAATAATTTGCCTTTATTAAATATCAGCTTTTTTAAGGTCTAAATATATCTCCCAGTCATCTACTATTTCTATATCTGAGCTCTTTTTACTTATAAAAAATGAACTCTTAGTATGCAGCTTTGGTTTTAAACCTATATAAATTCTATGTAAACTCCCTTATACATTTTGTTCACAAAGATCAAATTTTACCTTCTCTTATAGCTGTGCAGGGTGCACCTTCTTCATGTTCCAACCGGATCTCTTTTAACGCCACCAAATTCTCTGTCAATTTACTTCTTCCTTTATATACTGTTGCATATGTACCCTATAAAATATATTTTGGAAAGACACATCAAAATATCATAAGAGTCTATCTATAGAATCTATACAATAAAGAGACCTAATTAAATTCCTAATTTGTAAGCGTATGTTAAAGTCCATTTTGTAGGGAAAACTCTACAATGATTAGTATTGGTTGTTTTTTTTATAGCTAACAGGACTTTCACTACTATCTGCAGAGCCTCCATATTCTTATAACCCTATGGAGTGCCTCAAAATATGAAAACATACGGAGAATATTTAATTTACTTTTTGTACTTTGTATAGATTAACAACTGGATCAGTAGCTTCAGAATCCAAGGCACTCTATGTGTAATGGTATGTGGACTGGAGGCAATTAACTGAGCATATTAACTGAAAACTGAAAATGTACTAACACATTGTTAAATTAGAAAAATTTTATTGGTTCTCAGACTTACCAGAATTTTTATACATTCACTCTCCCTTAAAGAACAAATATATTCTATGCATTTCTTCTATCATAGCCCTCAAACTCTCTTAAGGCTTCCTGATTAGCTAATTCCATTATTTCTGGCTTGCCCTTTCTCACCCTGGGAGGAAGACCACTTCAAACTTAGTCAACACTAGTACCAAGTTCAAGAAAATCAAAGTCTTATTAGCCCCAAATTTCCTTAACCTTCAATGACATGTGTCTTCATCTTTAGAGATAATATTTTGACTCTTCGCAGGTTTGAACTCATGCAATTTTCCCACATCACAGTTCAGACAGCAGACTGCTAACAAATAGATGCCTATATTGTTACCAAGAGAGCACAACATCTTATGCTACAATAAAAAATTACAAGCTATTAAAAAATACTCATTTCCTCTCAAACTGATGGCATAATTTCAAGAATGGAAGGTTTTTTTCCTTCTAACATTCTGTTGCCTTTTCAGTACAACATATAATCTTTTAGACATCGGTGCTTACATCTTTTTTTTCTAGGTTGGTAAAAATTGTGGAGTTTAGATAATGAACATGTCTTATATTTTTGAGATAAGTATGTACTTACCTCTCCAAGTTTTTCCAATTTGATATAGGTTTCCATTTTTCCAAACCCAATTTCTGACTGAAAGCAAACAATTATAAATTTAGTATTCCTGAAATTTCAATTCATTTCTTCCTCAGTATCTTTTTTAAATGTTATTCTTTTTTTTGAGGTGCACTTTATTTTTATTTCTATTTTTTAAGGTAAGCTCCACGCCCAACATGGGGCTTCAACTCATGACCCCAAGATCAAGAGTCACATGCTCTACCACTGAAACAACCAGGCACCCCCTTCCTCAATTTCTGAAACTTTCCTGCTTTAAAGTGTGTCTTAAAATAGAAAAATCTGACTATAAGTAAATTGTTGAACATCTGTCAAGTTTTAAAATATACCCGATGTTGGAATATTCAAAGGTTCAAAAACATCAAAGTTCACAATTAAAACTGCCAACCCATCTTTTTATATAGATGGTTAACATTCTGCTGTAAAAAGTTTTGTTTTATTTTAAGACCCTGAGATTTTAAGATACCACAGGCATTTTAGGATACTAAGATTTTTATAAAAGACAACTACATGATTTTTTTTTAAACAAAATTGCGAAGTAAGTAATTTTCTGACACATCTTCATTCATCAATCTTCAAGTTCCCTAGGAAGGCCTGCAAACAACAAAATTCTATTTGTTTCAGGTTTTCTAACCAAATGTAATGAAAAAGGCAAACTGCAAGTCACACTCCGTTATAGATCAGGAAACTAATCCAGAAGCAGTAAGTCTAAATCTGACACCCTGCACTACATCAAAAGTCTTAAGAAGTGAGTTCTTTTAAACCATTGCTTTTAAACCCTGAACTTGTTTGCCTCACTTTTGTACGGAGTCAATAAATGAGGCAGATGGAATACACCCAAATATGTAAAGGAAACTAAATATTTAAAAACTAAAAACAAAACAAAATAAAAGATTTAAGAAAAAAGGAAAAATAAGAGATGAAAACTTAGGGACTGACAGAGCAAAAACAGAAAAAGTTAACAAGAGAGAATAAGAATTTTCTTAAAATTGCTTTCTAGTACCCCTTCTAGTTAGTGAAAAAGGCAATAATCTAAAGCTTTGCTTCTCACCTAGAATGGTGTTAATGCCCTTAAATGAGTAGCCAGTGAAAGGAAATATTTAGTCCAATTCTGGAGGTTCAAATATGCAATTTCTCCAGAGGTGCTGAATAAAGCAAAAATGATACTTGATGGTCTGACTTAACATCATTTACCATTCTCAACAGTAGGGGTAAACTGCCCAAAGCTGAAAGGCCAAAAATAGCAAGAGGTCCCTCAAAGAGATTTTTATCTTTTTAAAAAATTTTATTGTTTTTAAAACAATAAACATTAACACTGATTTTGTCCTTTTGTTATGATTTATATAAAGTTAAAAGACTAGAAAAACTTTATGTCCAAAGTACTTAATTCAATTTTGCTAAACTAATTAAAACTTTGGTCACAGGTGGTATTAATGGATGACTGCAAAACTTCTTTTTGCACTCTTTAAGACTTTTTACGCGGTATTTTCAAAATATTTTAGTTAAAAAATGAGATTCTGGAACCATCATACACCATCCATGCCTGTATTGTCTTCCATATGACTCAGAGATATTAAGTCCTTGCTTCCTATTATCAATAACTTGCAGAATAAAACACTAAAACTGTAACACTTTCTGAATACAAATACAGTTTTTAGCTTTAATAGGGAGAATGTGGCAAAGAGCCCACTACCTGGTACATGTGAACCTGATCCTGAATACGCTTTTAGCATATGTTATGTTTTATTTATAGCCTATTTAAGATATGATCTTAACACTTCTGAAAAAATGCTAAGTGCCAGCATCACATAAACTATGGTGGAATGTATTTATTTTCTTACACCTATCTCTAGAATTCATTAAACTCACAAATAGGAACTACTGCACTTTTGCCATGAATTTTAAGTCTTGTGTCATATCTTTAACGAAGGGGAAAAAACCATATTGATGATAAATGGAAAATAGCAAAAACAAAACAATGAATGTCTCTGAGAAAAATAAAAATACCATCTATAATAATGAGAACCACAAAGAAAAATATGACTGCAAGGCAGAAAGTTTTTCTTATTAGGAGTTGGGAAATTTTTTTATTCATTCTTTTATATTAAAATACTAGCATTCTCTAAAAACATCAGATATACAATGGTCCAGTGGCTATGACAAAAATGTGGACATTTGCTTTAAAAATTATATAAGTGGACTACAAATTCAAGACTATAAAAATAAAAATGTTACTGAGATTACTATATCCTATAAAGTATATAAGAAATAAAGAGATAATCAAATGTTAATAATAGCAAAGTCATTTGTCAGAGAATGACATTCAGTGAGATCATTAACATATGCTGAAAGTCTACTTTTTAAAAAGGAGGTAAATACTAGACTATAATTATGCTATGAAGTTGAATTTAAATTTGAATAATCAATCTATAAGATAAAGAGCATTACTGAATTTCATCATGCAGGCTGGCAGAGAATTCAGACAAAAGGCACAGTTACACTAGTGAATTATATGCCGGAGTAAAGTGTTTTTACCTCATTGCCCATTTTAATAATTTCCAACCCAGGCTTTACTAATTACATTTAAATATTAGTTACTGAATCTTTAAATGGAATTTTTAGAAAATTTTGCTTGCATTTTTATCTGCTGAACATGACAAGATTAACAATAGATATAATGACTAGCTTGTTGACATGCTCTCCTACAGAAATTATTCAGAGGACAAAGGACAAAGCTCATTTATTCAACATTTACCAAGTACAATGCTAGGTACTGGGGATATAGTGAAGACGACAGAAATTATTCCTGCTTTCATGAGTTCACAATCTAGACCGAGTTCCATCATTAGATTATTTTCCAAGTTTTGTAAAGAAAAAAAAATAGCTAAAGAAATGGAACAGTAAGTTTCATATTTTAATAACATATAAAAACCTCCTTAATTCTACTTTCCAAACAAATAAAGATATTTTTTTCTGTTACTTCATTGTTTCAAGGGAATACCTGGCTTTTTGGCAGCCCCAAATTCCTGTTCAGATGACTCTTAGAGCATAAGCACATGAAAAATTTTTTTAAATCCAAGATGAACTATAAGTTGCAAAAGCCTTCCTATATAATTCACTGTAACCTGGAAGTGGTATTTGAGCATTATGGGAAATTTCTGGATTACTCTGGGTCTGCCAACATAATCACTGTATCACAGTTGTAAAGATGTCTTTTTTTCTTCAATTTCAATTTTTAATTTAAATTTAGTTAATTAATATTGATTTCAGGTGTAGAATTCAGTGACTCATCACTTACATATAACACCTAGTACTCATTACAAGTGCTGTCCTTAAGATGTCTTAACACGCTAGCAATATAGTCTGAACTTAAAAACAAGTGAAGTATATGCAAAAGTTTTATAGATGTCATCCTAAAAGTGAACATATATAAGAAACACTGGGGACAAAGGGAGATTTTTTCAAACACCCATTTCCTTCCTTGTAACAATTATGGAGTTGATGTTACTGATAGAAATATGGGGGGCAGAAAAGGGATTGTGAACCTCTATTCTATTTGGTAGTTTTCTTACAAAAATTGCTGTTACCATCAGTATGGATAGTATCTTAATTGTGTATATAATATGCCAATGGTAAGTTAAATTTTGAGTGGATTTTGAGCCTAACTTTCACACTCCATAATATACTTATTATTTCTGAGACATCAGGACTTGATACCCTATTTCCTCACCTATTATTAGAAATAAAAAAGGGGGCGCCTGGGTGGCGCAGTCGGTTGAGCGTCCGACTTCAGCCAGGTCACGATCTCGCGGTCCGTGAGTTCGAGCCCCGCGTCGGGCTCTGGGCTGATGGCTCAGAGCCTGGAGCCTGTTTCCGATTCTGTGTCTCCCTCTCTCTCTGCCCCTCCCCCGTTCATGCTCTGTCTCTCTCTGTCCCAAAAATAAATAAATGTTGAAAAAAAAAATTAAAAAAAAAAAAAGAAATAAAAAAGAAAGGACTACATAAGCTACATATTGCTAAAGCCATGAATGAGGAATCCAACTCATTGTTAGGCACAAGCAGATTCTGTAAATGTGTAAAACCTACAATTTCAATATAATGAGGCAAATTTTCATATACAGACTTTCAATCTACTAAAACTGCACATAACAGTCTCACAAATTTCCACTGGGCATGCCATCATTCTAAGTACATCAATGCTCTAATGCATCATGACTATTGGCATATGGGATTTCCACTAATCTAATGTTTAACAAAATATGTTGAGTTAGAACATCCATTTCTAATCAACCATAAATGAGTATTAAGTAACACTTCACCAATCCAATAACCAATACCCTTAATATGAGATAAGACAACTAAATGTGGTGTCCTAGATAGGAAACGGGGACAAAAAAAGGACATTAGCTGAAAACTGGGGAAATATGAAAAAAGTGTGGAGTTAATAGTAATGTACCAAATGTTGGTTTCCTTGGTTGTGACAAACACACTACAGTAATGTAAAATGTTAATAATAGTGGTAACTAGGTATGTGGTATATGGGAACTCTTTACATTACCTTTTAAATTTTTCTATAAGTCTAAAACCACTCTAAAATAAAAATAGAAAGAATTCAGTTAAGAGAGGGAGACTGAATATATGTGTGTATAGAGATGATAATTTTATTTTTTTTGAGAAAGAGAGGATGAGCAGTGGGGAGGGCAGGGAGAGAGAGATAGGGAGAGAGGGAGGGAGAGAGGGAGGGAGACAGAGAGAGAGAGAGACAGAGAGAGAGAGAGAGAGAGAGAGAGAGATTGAGGAAAAATATCAAGCCGACTCCATGCTCCACACAGAGCCCGACACAGGGCTCAATCTCACAACCCTTGGGATCATGACCTGAGCCAAAATCAATAGTCATATATATGCTCAACCAAGTGAGCCACCCAGGGGCCTCAGCAATTACAAATATTTTAAAGCATCCCGAGCAGATGAGATAGGAAGGAAAACTCCTCTATACTAAAAGAAGGAAAGAATAGAATGAGTAGAGGTGCAGACAGATTTGCACACTTGTTATTCAAAAAATGAGGACGTTTCTGATAAACAGCTTCTCTCTTCTTTGAAATCATCTGCGTAGAGTGATGGCGAAGAGGAAACCAGAGAAAGGCAGTATAGAGCAGCCAAGCAATACTGAGGGTTCATTTGAGACTGATGATCATGAATTTAAAGAAGAACCAATTAGCCCTATTGTATGTCTTTCTTCAGAAATGAATTGTGATTTGCTCCTTAATTCCTACTCAAACAAGGATTTATGTTATTTTTACTACTCTATTTGTTATACATTGCTATTGAATATGAGAAAAAGCTTTATACTTTTAGAAAGATAAGGTTAAAATTTTATATTTTATCTTGAAAATATATTTTTTAACGAGTATATTATCCATGGAAACATGAGCTCTAACACATGTGAAGAATAGCTTCTTTTCCCATCTCCTTCCCATCCATTCCCTAACCCTTCCCTTTCATACATAAACCTAGGATACTGAAGAATAATTTTCTAATATACTTCAAAATAAATCATGCTTTAGCAAAGTAGATGAATAATGAAAAGGCTGCATTAGTAGAAACCAAATAGAGCTGGCATGATTTACTGAAATCTATAAGCCATTTTAGATCAAAAACCAAGGAAGATGAGTAGGAACACTCAACCATAATAAAAATTCCATCACTTAACATTCATTAGAGGGCACTGTTTTCTTTAAGTTCATGTATACTGAAAAAGATAGCTCTTAAAGAATAGCTTTAAGAATTATGTTGTCATTAGATCATATCTTTAGTCTAAATGTGAATATTCAATAACTCCAAAATGTATCCTAAGTACTAATCTTTGATAAAAATTGAAGCCAAAGAACATTTTCAACTAGGCAACCAAATGGCAAAGGTATTTAAATAAAAACGTCTTAGGCAGTGATACAAAACTATGATCATAAACCTATACCAAAATCAAGTTGGCACTATACTTTTATTATGCATCGGTGAATGAATGTCAAATAACAATACGTTCATATTATATATAGTCTAATTTTATTCTTTAGAATATGTAACCAAAAGAGAAATTTTTGGTGTATAAAAAAAATTCCATGATATAAAATATAAAAAGGAGAACTGCTAGTACCTAGGAATCTTCAACTGCCCCTTCTTCAAACACAAAGTTCAACTGAGTACCAGAGCTCCTATTTTATCTCTCTACATGGTCCCTAGGATCTGGGTTCTATTTCCCATTTCCACAGGACTGCCACATCATCCCTAATTTTGAATAAATTCCTAATTCATCATCCTGCCTCTAGTCTTTCTCTCCTTCCACTTCGTTTACACTTTTCCTGAAGCCACTTTAAGAAACAAAAATGTAATCATGTCAGCCCTTATTTAAATCACTACCACTGAGGTCCATCACATGAGATGAATGAAGTTCAGACTCCTTATTTGGCCTGATAGCCAAAGCTTTTTACAGTCTGGATTTATCCTATCCTTTCAAGCCCTATTCTTTAATATTATTCCACATATACCCTTCATATTAGTTATAACTTCCCAACATACCAACATTCATATTTGTGGGTTTTAGTACATCAAGTTTCCTCTGCTTAAAACACCCTTCTACCGGGGTGCTTGGGTGGCCCAGTCTGTTAAGCGTCCGACTCTTGATTTTAGCTCAGGTCATGATCTCACACACACTACATGAAATCGAGCCCTGCATCAGCCTCTGCACTGATGATGCAGAGCCTGCTTGGGATTCTCTCTCTCTCTGACCCTCCCCCCGCCTCACTGTCTTTTTTTTCAAAATAAACAAACAACCCCCCCCCCCCAAAAAACAAAAATATCCTTCTACCAACCAAGTCAACCTGACAAATTCCTACCCATCCTTTTGAAGCCGCTCAAGTATGATCTCCTTTTAAGCCTATAAAATGCAAAGTCATTTTACTATCTCTTCTTTTTATCCCACAGCACTTTATACATACCTCTACTATAGGACTATAACTATTCAAAAGAGGTCCTTACATATACAATCACCTAAACTGTGTCAAAGGTGACACTGCAACAGGGAAAGCTGAACTGTCAATGAGCAGTGGCTATTGCAAGGGTCAACTGCTACATGCTGGAAGATATTTGCAAGACATATAACTCACAAAGGTTCGTGATAAAGAATGCCTAAAGAATTTATATAAATCAATTTTTAAAAAGGCAGAAAACCCAACAGAAAGGGACGACAGACTTCAGCAGTCAAATCACAAAGGAAGGCATATATCATATATAAATGGCCAATAAACATTAAAAAGGTGTTCAGCTTAGTCATCAGAGAAATGCAAAATAAACTCACAAGAGGGTAACACTACACAATGACCAGAAAAGTAAACATTTTTTTAAAAAGAGTATCAAAACTTGGCTAAAGTGAACAAACAAAACTATCAAATACTGATGGGAGTGTAAATTGGTACAAACACTTTGGGAAAGCCTTTTGACAGTATTTAGGAAAGCTGAAGGGGTGCCTGGGTGGCTCAGTCGGTTGAGCATCCGACTCTTGATTTCAGCTTGGGTTGTGACCTTATAAGGTTTGTGGGATCGAGCCCTGCGTCAGGCTCCACACTGTCCGTGCAGAGCCTGCTTGGGATTCTCCCTCTCCCCCCACCCCCTCTCTGCCCTCCCTTGCTTGTGTTCTCTCTCAAAAATAAGTAAACTTAAAAAAAAAATAGCTAAACATATGCATACAATCAGCTCCAAAAGTTCCACTCCTAAGTATGTACCCAACAGAAATGACTACATGTATTAACCAAAATACAGGTACAAGAGTGATAACAGAACCACTATTTGGTAATAACCTAGAGCTAAAAAACAACCCAAATGTTTAAATGTCTATCAACAGGAGACTAGATAAAGTATAGTATACAATGGAATGTCGTGAAACAAAAAGAACAAATGAACTATGCACACAAACTAGATAAATACACGAGAACATTGAGCAAAAGAGCCCAATCAAAAAACAAATACATACTGTATACTTCCATGTGGATTGTAAAATATACGTAAACTTGCATACATTTTTATACATTTGTATAAAACGTAATTTAATATGAATAAGCAGAACTAAAAGCATTTTAAAAGTAAGAATGTGTACATAAATGAGGATTTAAAAAAAGTCTTTTGAGATATTAAAACATACTATGAGCATAATATGGGGAAACATGGGTAAACCTAATCTTTGGCATTGGAAGGCAGGGATGTGGCTACAGTTGAGGAAGTAGGAGTAGAAAGTGAACAGAGAAGTGGCAGGATAGGGTTTCTGTGATTTTTGGAATTTTATTGATCTAGGTACTGGTTACATAGGTATGTTAACTTTGCAAAATACATTGAGCTATATAATTATGGTTTATGTACTTTTCTGTATATCTAGTATATATTAATATATATTTCTATAATACATATTCTGTACATCTAGCATATATCAAAAAAATTTCTAAAAATAAAACAGAATATAGCTTAAATTGTATTCCAATATGCATCTTTAAACCCTTAAAGAATTGGAAAAAGATAAAATCCAAAAGGCAATGTAATAAAATTTAGTTATTCAAAAAGCAATATAAAAATTAATATAAAGTGTTTACACCCAGAAAATCAAACAAGGAGACTGGATGGCATAGGTATAAGAGACTGAAAACTTACTAAAGAAGCTCTACGAGACCTTCGGCTCATTGGTTGATCAAATGGTGGACTGTTTATCTGCAACTTTTCAAGATACCCATCAGGTATTCTGATATCTGCAGGCAATGATAACCGTTTATTTAAATCCTTTAAAAAGAAAAAAAAGGGAAAAAAGGTATTTGTAATCACAAATAGAAGAGACAAGGGCATTTTACTTTTGAATTCATAGGCTCTACTGTACTGTTTATTAATAAGTAATTGTTAAGTTTTATTATAGTTTCAAAGTTACCCATGTTGATTATATATAATATCTGAATGCAAATATATTTACTGTAAGCAGAAGTATACAACAGAGTTCTACAGAAATGGTACTCTGCAACTCCGTTATTTCTGAGTCCTTTTGTTGGTATATTTCACATGGAATTTTCTTAGACATGATTTGTACTTTGTAGGAAGAGGAAAAAACTACCACAAAATGTGACTGGTTTAAGTAACAACCAAGTAGATAAAGTTTTGTGCACAAGCACAGCGAGACAACTTGAAATCTTTTATTAATGCTATGTCAATGGAAATAAATAAAAAGCAAGAAAAATCTCAAATAAACAACTTAACTTTATATACCTAAAGAAGCTAGAAAAAGAAAAACAATGTCCAAACCTAGTAGAAGGCAGGAAATAATAAAGATTAGAGTAGCTATATATATATATATATATGTAAAATTCACCACAGTTAGGTGGGATAAAGGGTGGGTTTTAGAAAAACACACTTCTATTCCTTTTTTGTTGTTGTTAATTTTTTGATGTTTATTTTTTATTTCTGAGAGAGATAGAGCTTGAGTGGGTGAGGAGCAGAGAGAGAGGAGACACAGAATCTGAAGCAGGCTCCAGCTGTCAGCACAGAGCCCGACACAGGGCTTTAACCCATGAACCGTGAGATCATGACCTGAGCCAAAGTTGGACACTTAACAGACTGAGCCACCCAGGCACCATCTATTCCATTTAATTACAAAATGTGAACTGAGAAATCAAATGGGAATCTTTCCTACGTTATCATACCAAAAAACATAAATCCTATAAAAAATAAATCCCTGGGGTGCCTGGGTGGCTCAGCCAGTTAAGTGTCCAACTTCAGCTTAGGTCATGATCTCACAGCTCTTGAGTCCGAGCCCTGCATCGGCTCTCCACTCTCAGCACAGAGCCCACTGCTCTGTCTCCCTCTCTCTCTGCCCCTCCCCTGCTCTCTCTCAATAATAAACAAACATGTAAAAAAATCTCTACTATTCATGATAGTAACCAAACCAAAAAACAAAAGTGAGATGTATAAGAACTATGTAAATATTTACTGAGAGATATCAAGTATTGAAATATATACCATGTTACCAAATGGTAATACTAAATAATTAAAAGATAATGGTTTGTTAGTTTTACATAATCCCAAACAAATCACAATAACATTATTATTAGAACACTATATTTAAGGGGGCCCTGGGTGGCTTAGTCACTAAGCATCTGACTCTTGATTTTGGCTCAGGTCATGCATGATCTCAAAGTCGTGGGATCAAGCCCCGCATCAGGCTCTGGGCTGACAGTTTGGAGCCTATTTGGGATTCTCTCTCCCTCTCTTTCTGCCCCTCACTCCTGCCCATGCACATGTGTGCGTTCTCGCTTTCAAAATAAACATTAAAAAAATATATTTAAAATTTATATAGAAGAATACACAGAAAGTAACATCCAAAAACATCCTGAATAATATGTAATGATGTGCAAGATGTGGAGGATGTTAAGAAAGAAGTCTTTCTTCAGCTATTAAAATATATGAAAGTAAGAATATCATCAAGAGTGGGTCACCTTTGGGGGGGAAATAAACACAGCTCAATAAAAGAGTTAGAAAGTCCAGATGATAGATCTTAATAGCAAATAAACTTTAAACATATGATAAAACCATATATATGATGAAGAAAATATTTTCATTATTATTGTGATATAATTTATACAGTGATATGAACAGATATCAAGGTGATCTCAAGAGTTAAAAATATTAATTTATCATTTAGAAAACTGATACTGTTTTACTTAACTGCTTTAGAAACAACCTTTTATCAATGAAAATGCAATCAACCAATGGGACAGAGACCCTAAGCATTGTAATGTCAACTCAAAAGCACCAAAAACCCCAATAATCTTAATTCAAAACATGTTCAATTTTTTTGGAGAAAACTATTTTAATCTATAGTAAATACCAAAATAAGAACATTCACAATCAGCTTCCAATCTCAAGGTTATATATAAACTATTAATTCTTTTACATGGGGAAATAACTTATATGTTCTACAATAGTAGGTATAATAAGCCATAAAGGAAATGATAACCATATTTACAATATAAAGCAAAAACAAAAACAAAACAAAACAAAAAAAGCTGATGCTTATTTTATATATACATTTTGAAATATGAAATAAAATATAAAGTATTAAGTATCCAGATGAACCTCAAAAATATAATTAAAATCCTATTTTCTAAAAAGAAAACTTTGCTAAAGTATCATTCTGAATTTCCAGTATTTTTGAAAATTCACATTTCCACTACAACAGACCCTTACATATGTTTTGCAGAATGTTAAATATAATTAACGTATACTTGCCTTGGCATAGTAGATAATTGGAAAAAAGGAAATATTCACAAGACCATACTAAATTTTCTTACAATGTCATTTGCCTTCATGAAAATTTTCAAATGGGCATTTACTCTGTTTGATATATATGTGTATTTATATACACAAACACACATATGCAGGTACGTTTTAATTTTTTTAAATGGTTACCTCCATTGAGATCCGTCTATGTATACGATTTCTAAGACAAACACCCGTAGGTGACTGTACTTCATCAGATGATGTCCCAGAAGCTTGGTCACTCTCACCATCTGATCCCATTTTTAGATTTTCATGAACAATATCTGTATCAGAAAATGAAACATCACTTATGTTGGGAGAGATGTATTATACCCTACTATGTATCACATAATTTATTTTCACTACAACTAAGATACAGACAGCCAAGATGATAAAGACAGCTATGATAAAAATCATAGCATAAGAAGTCTTACATTCTGGGTGTTCTAGGTATATAGCTAACAGATCAAAATATAATTCAGATGTCTTGAAACAGTAGTGAGAAATGCTTTCACACTCTGAGATTATGAAAAACTATGGAAAAAATTAACATTCAAGTTATTATCAAGAGCTGAATAATAAAATTATAGGCTGGAAATAACACTTGAGGATTTCTTAGTTCTCTGATTTTCCAGATCTGGAAACTGAGACTTTGAAAGGTTAAATGATTTTCAAAGGTTACACAGCTTAGAGGCAGAGCTAAAATAGAAACCTAGTCTTTTGCCTTTTTAGTTTAGTACTTTTCCATTAGATAATGTGTCATTGGGTCTACAGACAAATAACTTCTTTGAATATTCTTAAAAAGAAAAAGTTTTCAAAGCCACTAATGCAGCTTTCCCTCTCTAGTGTTAAAAAATAAAAGAACAGGGGCGCCTGGGTGGCGCAGTCGGTTAAGCGTCCGACTTCAGCCAGGTCACGATCTCGCGGTCCGTGAGTTCGAGCCCCGCGTCGGGCTCTGGGCTGATGGCTCAGAGCCTGGAGCCTGTTTCCGATTCTGTGTCTCCCTCTCTCTCTGCCCCTCGCCCGTTCATGCTCTGTCTCTCTCTGTCCCAAAAATAAATAAACGTTGAAAAAAAAAAAATTAAAAAAAAAAATAAAAGAACAATTCAAAAATTATTCATTGAGTATCTATTTAACTGCAGAAATAAGTCTGTGACCACCAAAAATCTGTTTGAAGTAAAAAACATATTTAAATTACCATACAAGTGGGTTATGGTTTTGTTTTTTTGTCTTTTTTTTTTAAGGATAAAAGTTAAACGAGAGAGGAGGAAGATTAATTCTATCTGGGTATACTGAAAAATTTGTATACTTATATACTTGCTCTATATTTGCATTTGTCAATCATCCTGTAATTCATATAGCAAGAGTTGCCCACCAGAAACACATACTAGATCTCAAACAGATCTCTTACCACTGGTTCTCTTTACAGAATTAGTCATTGCCCCCACAAGTAGGTTGTTTCATGCTAGAGTGCTTTAACATACTCCCCACCCCACTGTTGTATCCATAAGAGATGGCTTTCCCCAATTTACCAATTTGGTGAGCTCATTCTTCAAAACTATGCTCATTTGTCATTACTCAGTGAAATCTCTTCTACTCTCAGACACAGATGACTACTGTACCCACACCTACTGCTCCCATTGCATTGAAAAGCATTTTTTTGTTTCATGGGATTTTACACCAACTTATGAGATCATTGGAGGCATGATTTAGCTTATTCACTTTAGTATTCCCCAACTTAAAAAAGTGTCTGATATTTAGAAAGTACTTAACAGGAGCACCTGGGTGGCACAGTTGGTTAAGCCTCCAACTCTTGGTTTCGGCTCAGGTCATGATCCCACGGTTTGTGAGATTGAGCCCCATGTCGAGCTAGTGCTACAGCCAGAGCCTGCTTGGGATTCTCTCTCTCCTCCTCTTTCTGCCCCTCCCCTGTTCATGTTCTCTCTCTCTCTCTCTCTCAAAATAAATATGTAAAAACATTAAAAAAAAAAAGTAGTCAACAAATAATCTAAAATTGATTATTAACTAAAAATCAAAGAATGGACTAGATAACTGCACCTCTTCTTTCAAATGAAAGATTATATGAAATACCAACATGTAAAAAAAATAGTATTTTATAGCTATAAATTTTTATTTTTAATGAATATTTGCTTGTGAAAATGAGAGCTGTTTAACAAAAAACTGAAGTCAAGGATCTTATCAAATCAGTCTCAGAATTCCTGTATTTTTGTTTTTTGTCCTGATAACACATTATTGAGAAAATTCTTACACTGGTAGGTAGTTACAAATATAATGATTTTTAATAGATATGTAATTTAAGAACACACTTTTATTACACAAAGATTTCTGGAGAAATTTCATACTAAGATTTAAACAAAAAATTAACTTGGCAATAAAAGTCAGTGCAATGGGAACTGATTCCTAATCTGATGGTATCCGACACATCTGAGGCCAAGTATTCTTTTCTGTCACACTTTTAAAATGCTAAAGATGATTTAATCATGCCTTCAACTTCCAGCAAAATCTGAACATCTACCTCCTTCAAGAAAATGTTGATTAAAATGCAATAATATTTTTAAATGTATAGCTGAGTTTACAAGAATATAGGCACAACACTGAGGAAGCGAAGACAGAGAAGTAAGAGCCAAAAGCTGTTATGCGTAATGGACTCTGTCACTCTCCTGAGGAAGGGTTGCTGATCTTGGTAAGAAGGTGCATGGGTTTAGCCACCACACTAGGATAAAAGATGAAGCGCTGGCTGTCCAAGGTGCAAGTGAGAGCCTCCCAAAGAAAGGCACAAGACTCTCAGAGTAGTACATCTTCAGTAAAGGACAGACTTAAATAAATCTGTTCTCCTGTACAAGGACCACAGGAGCATATTAATCTCAGACTATGAATAAATACTTGAGTACCATCTGACTCAACCAAGAAATTACTCATGTCATTAACGAACAAATGTAGTTCCAACATGATTATCATGTTCATTTTCATTTCCGTTAATAAGACAAAAGTGAAATAATTAAGGATTATGTCAAAGTTTCATTCATTTGTCACGTGTATGAGCACTTCTTTGCTGAATCAGGTAATGGTTTTCAAGTACTAAAAGAATAAATGGCTCAATTTTGTGCCACTTACAACTGTAACAGCTACAGATACAATACACTTTTAAGTTTAATCTGCATTACTAACATTTTCAATACCATTTTCTTAAATTCAGACCAAAGATCAGCAAATGTGACATGTTTTTATATGGCTCCTAAACTAAAAATACTTTCTGCATCTTTAAAGAGTTATTTTAAAAGAAAAAGAATATGCAATAGAGACAACATGTGGCCCATAAAACCCAAAAAATTTACAATCTGGCCCTTTACAGAAAAGTTTTCCAATCCCTGGACTAGACAGCGAAACTATAAATCAAATCCTGATCTGAAGTGTTCTCCAATTTCTGTGGGGTAAACACTCCCTACACGGCCAACTTCAAGTTACAATATGACCATCACTGAGCATGTAGTTGGGAAGAAATGTACATGCCATTACATAAAATTTTGATTATACAGCTATAACAGAAATAACCCCGAAAGCAGAGGTAATAGTAAAGTGTAGTAAAATAATTAGGAAATAATGAGTTTTAAGTATTCATTACCTTTGTTTTTAATTAGCTTACTTAATTACAGATTTATATAATTTAAATTTTAATAATGGCTATATTTAACAACCAGCTTGCAAAATTCCTGAAAACTTAACAATCATCTCTCATGAACCAGTGTGAGCCTACTCCAGTACACCATTCTGTAGGGTTACACCTATGAGGATAAAACCTTCATACATTTCTCCCCTAGATAAAACCCCACAAGAGATAAGCTCATACTCCCCAAATGAACAAAACAAATGAAGAAATAATCTACCATGACAAAGGAAGGAGATAAAGCAAGCAGCAAAATAAAACCCTCAGAAACTTCAGTTAATATAATTATGCCATGAGACTATAAAATTATTTTACTTAAAAAAATCAAAGCATGATAGTAAGATGCCATCAAAAGAGACCAGAGATGGGATGCCTGGGTGACTCAGTCGGTTAAGCTTCCGACTTTGGCTCAGGTCACGATCTCACAGTTTGTGAGTTTAAGCCCCACATCAGGCTCTGTGCTGACGGCTCAGAGCCTGGAGTCTGCTTCAGATTCTGAGTCTCCCTCTCTCTCTGCCCTCCCCTGCTCACGCTCGCTCGCTCTCTCTCTCTCAAATAAATGTTAAAAAAAAAAATACCAGAGAGATAAAAAGAAACTTGTAGATATGTATTTTTCCTGAATACTTACAATGACACAGTGACCTAAGAATGAGAACTCAGGGGATAATCATGGATACTAATTACCACACCGGGCTATTGCATGGTGACAATCTGGAGTTAATGTGGTATGACCCTAAATTAAGCAAGCTGCTGTTCACCTTGAAATCTTGCATCCATCTCTTAAGGGTTTTGTTTTCTTTCTGGTGGACAGGTTTTCAAATGTTACTGCTCTGTAGTGTCAGTGCTATCACCTCTCTAGAGCCTTCCATCTTCCTGCTACCTCTGTTATTTTCAACTTGATTTTTATCTTACAAGAAAAATCAGATAATAAAAGCTGATTTCCATACAACTATAATCTAGCTATGTACATGACCTCTAGGGGGGAAAAAAAAAAAAAGACCGTTAAATTACCTAGTCGGCTTCCATTTCTGGGCATTGCCATGAAGGATCCAAGGCTTCCTCCAATAACACTATGTGGTCTCCGCAACGGGGGCTTCTTGAAGGATCCTGTGTACTGGTGGAGGAAGGAATGCATACTGTGAGAGGTTGGAGGCCTGCCATTCTTCACAATAGGCTCTGTGGTTCACAGTATCCAAAATCATTCCATTACCAGCCCAAGATTCAGGATCACATGAGAAGGATTGAGAAAGCAAAACAGAAAACAAAAGGTTTATGAGATCAGTAACATTTAAGAATTCTTTGGCTACCTAAACAAAGTACCAGAATTAAAATAATTTCTATGAAAAATAATTATAGAAAATACTTTACTATTTGAAATTGGTCGAATAACTTCAGTATCCAGTTCTTATGTAACCAAATTGGTTAGCAATCACAGAACTACTATTATAGCCCAGAGGTTTTTTTTAACCATTTGCTTATTTTAATATATCCCAAGCTTGTTTCCAAACTGCTCCTACATTTACTAACTTCATATATGTCTTATGGTTACAAATGCTACATATATATGTATATATACATATATATATGTGCGCGTGCGCGCGCGCGTGTGTGTGTGTGTGTGTGTAAAAAATACATGGTCCTGGCCTGAGGGAATTTATATCTCTATTTGCTAGACATTCAAAAGGTTTGTTAGTTAATGAATAAAACAGAAGTACTTAAGCAAAGATCAAATCAGTGGCTCTGAAATTTACCCAAAATTTGGGATTTTTAATATAAAGAGTTTTTTTAAGAAATCACACTTATAAATAAGCAGAAACATTTAAAATATATAATACTTAAAAAGTTATTTAATTGTAAATGGGAGAAATCCTGTTTTGTAATGTTTACAAGGAATCTCATGATTCCTTTCCACCTCTAAAGAAGAGCTCTAAAACAGGTTAAGGACACAATGAAGTCTTCCGTGACACATAAGCAGTCTTTTGTATTAGAATTATGTTTTTACTGGTAGTAGTCAAGGAATTTTAAAAGGAAGGGGGCTTCTCTGAGTATCTTCTCTAAAATGGAGCCAGCTCTTCTTTCGTAGCTGCTAATCAGGAGTAAGAATATCTCCCGATGTGAGTATTTCTCCTACCTGTAAAGGTTTATCAGACACCAAGAACAAAAGCCCACATGGCCTGCACTTCTACTGATAATGGTTGCATATAAGATGGGAGAGGGAGGATGGGGCCAAAGCATCCTCGGGACTCAGACAAAGCCCAAGTTATCTAATTTGGGTAGAATACCAGACTGGAAAAAGGAAAAGTACCTAACTAGTAATGGATAACATCTGTCCAAAGTGTCCCATGGCCTGTACATTCCTTGGCAGTAGCTGGCTGATCAAGGATTTGGGGGATCTTAACTTAAACCTAGTATAATAATGAATGATTTCATAATGAATAGGGAGGGGTATCTGATACAAATGCAAAAATTAAATAGTCAAACAGTGTAGGATACAAGCTAGAACACATAAAAAAACTTTTCTCTTCCAAGGTTGTCATGTTTCTTATCTGGAATCATAATAAAATACATTGATAATCTGCCTATAGCAAAGTTGCTGTGGGGAATAGAACTTTTACAGTCTTGAGGAATAATACAACTTAAAAAAAAAAGAGATCATAAAACATTCAATTATTCAGGGGACTTTTATTGTGTGCCTACCATTCCAGGTCCCGGGCATCAACAGGTGAACAAAATAAACAAGGTACTACTCTCTAAGATTATAAGATCTTATGGAGGGGAAACAAGAAACTAATGAATAAGAAAAATATTAGATGATAGGCAATATGCAAAAGATTAAAAAAGAACAGAAAATAAAGGCGTGGCTATTTTACACTAGACACTGAGTAAAGTTCTCTCTATAGAAGTCTTTTTGACACAGATATAAATGGAAAAATGAGCCAATCCTGGGAAGATAGGTGATGGTGAGTTAAAAGATATTCCAGACAAAGGGTAAAGCCACTGCAAAAGTCAACATGTGGCAGGAATCTGACTTGCTAGAACAGTGGTCCTCAAACTTTAGCATGTTTCAGAATCACCTTCAGAGACTTGTTAAAATAGAAGATTGCTAACTCCTAGCCCCTGACTTCCCGACTCAGTAGGTCTGATGTGGAATCCAAAAATTTTCATCTCTAACAAATTCTCAGGTGATGCTAATTGTTGCTGACCCAGAGATCAAACTTTAGAAACACTCTGTTAGAAGAACACAAAGAAGGCAAGTGTAGCTGTAGTACATAATTGTTATTTAGTGAGGGCAGAGAGATAAGCAGGTTTGTATGTAACTACAAAAGTTCAAATTTTACTCTGACATTGAAATCGGTTATGGTAGCTTTGAAGCAGGTAGTAATATGATCTCACTCACGTTTTAAAGATACCACTCTGAGAGATCAGAGATGGTGGGAAGTAAGGAAGTGGAATAACTGTAAAGTAGCATGAGAGGGATCTCCTTGTGGTACTGAAATACCTCTTTATCCTGATTGCAGCAGTGGTTACATGAATCTACATGTGATAAAATGACACAAAACTATACTCACACTTTATTCCCGTGTTAATTTCCTAGGTTTGATAAAGTTCAATAGTTAAGGAAGATGTAACCAAAGGAGGGAACTGAGAGAAGGGCACAAGAGACCTCCATGCCCTGTTTGCAACTTCCTTTGAATCTATAATTATTAAAAATTAAATAATACCAGTCTACCATTTCTTATTCATTAAACCATATTCAGATGCGGACTGTGTGTGCCACCTATCTCAGGAGCTTTTTATATTCTAAGATAAATTCCATAAAGAATATATTGGAACCAGCTCACAGGCACTGATAAATAACCAAAAAGGTGTAGAATCTTTGTCAAAGCTATTGGTGAAATCCATGTGCCAATACACATAAGCGTGTAAGCAACAGCAGATTGTAACTCAGAAACAGCCTACGCTCCTAACAATCTCTGCATCCCCAGAGAAATCCATGTCTATTATAACATCTTCAAGTATTATTTCAAGTAACTGAAGAGAAAACTCAGTAAGAGATCCTATTTCCTCTTCTTTACTCCTTGTTAAAGTCACTATTATAATAAAATTTTAATAAAGTAAATAATATATACCACTTGAAAAAATTTTTTCACCATTTCACCACTCATTATAAATTAAGCATGTTTTAGGACAATACTAAAATATTCCAGAAAATATGCAAATAATCTAAAATATTAATTAGCTCTCCAAGAAGGATGTCCATTTCTTTGATCCAAATTCTTTTTTTTTTTTTTTTTTTTTAAAGTTTATTGACTTTGAGAGAGAAAGCACAAGTGGGAGAAGGGCAAAGAAAGAGGGAGAGAGAGGATCCCAAGCAGACTCCACGCCGTCAGCGCAGAACCCGACACAGAGCTCAGTCTCACGCACTGTGGGATCATGACCTGAGCTGAAATCAAGAGTCAGATGCTCAACCAACTGAGCCACCCAGGTGCCTTCTTTTTTTTAAGGAGAGGTTTGTCTTATAGTCAAATACCCATTAAGAACCTGACCCAGAACCTATCAAGATGTACAGTGTGCTTGCAAGACTATTTAATCATAAGAACAAATACTCAGGGCTTAATTAAAACACCAAAAATTCAAAGAGGGTCTGAGGGAATTAAGGATTTTGCTTTTGGCAAGAAGAAAAAAAGTAAGACATTATAAAATTGTCTTTGAGTTTTGACCCAAATGCAAGATGTGTCCCCCTCCTACACAGAAGTTATATTCAAATTATGATTTAAAAATGTATTTTCTACTGAATTCATCTATGTCTTCTCTCTCATATTACAATCAGCCAGATAAACTTGAGTAAATAATGACCCTGATCAACTAAAGCCTGAGTAGGATCAATTAGTTACTCAGAGTCATATTAACTAGTAAGTAAGTGTTAGTGTATCCCAAATTCCAATCTATGACTTTTAACTTAAAGTCCGGAGCCATTTCCCTTATACTTTTCCCTCTCTCACAACAAGGACACTTGCATTTAGGGGGCAGAGGTATTCATGTGTTCACCCACTGCCACAAATCTCTAACAGAAGAATTTTAGGCACAGGAAAGAAAGGCTTGTCATAGAATGTGTGCATCATGATATACTGGCAGCCATTCCGGTAACCCCTTCCTGGATATTATTATGACATCCCTAGGGCTGTTTCACTTTGGAATATGTAACCTTGCTCTGTAAATTTCATCAGGATTTTACATTTTAATCTGCTCAATTTAACAAGCTCTTTTCATTTTATGTCACCATATGTGAACTACTGCTTTACATTGTAAAAAGAACTACCAAATATGAAATGTTACATGCCTATCAAGTGCTCTCAATACTATGAACAGATTCTGCAGTAAATATAATTCACTCACGTGATGAACCGTGTCATCTAGTCAATATGCATATATAACGTTCTAAAACTATGATGAAGCCCCAAACAGGAATTTCACAAACTTACTATATACTTTTAAGCTGTATTAACTTAGGTTAACTTAAAAATAGTTATTTAACAACTAGGACAATATTATATAAGGTATTCTTATTTAAGAGCCAGTGAAAAATGGAAAGATAAATGGGACAGAAGAATCCACAAGGGTTAGAGACCAGGAGGAGGTTTCAAGTAGTACTAGTGGAGTAACACTGCTCCAGTAAGTAAGCAAGAAAAAGTTATGTTGTCTTCTGTTTCCTAAGAACCAGAGAACAAGACAAAGAAATAAACACAAGGAAGCTAACAGGAACTTATCAGAAAAGAAAGCTTACACTTTGCAAAGTAATTAAAAGGGGGAAGCATCTCTCCTTCCCTCTCCTCCCCAGCCCCCAAATATTTACCATTATCCTTGCTGCTATTTTCTTCAATAGTCATTTGTTCCGCCAATTCAGACAATGATTCATCAATAGTTTGGCTTCCTCGAAGAGTGAGGGATAGCCGTCTCTTGAATTTTTTCATCCTATCAACTGAATGTGACTTGAAAATTCCTGAAAGAACAGAAGAGAATGAACACAAAATTAAGGCTATAAAATATTTTAAAGCTCAAGGAAAATGTCATTCAGAATTTACTGGCAATCTTCAAACTAGGAATATAATAAGGAATTTTCATGTCCACCATCATCACAAAGTCCAACCCCTTATTTTTTTATATATATAATTTATTGCCAAATTGGTTTCCATACAATACCCAGTGCTCATCCCAAAAGGTGCCTCAATGCCTATCACCCACTTTCCCCTCTCCCCCAACCCCCATCAACCCTCAGTTTGTTCTCAGTATTTAAGAGTCTCTTATGGTTTGCTTCCTTCCCTCTCTGTAACTTTTTTTTCCCCCTTCCCCTCCCCCCTGGTCTTCTGTTAAATTTCCCAGGATCCACATATAAGTAAAAACATATGGTATCTGTCTTTCTCTGCCTTATTTCACTTAGCATAATACTCTCCAGTTCCATCCATGTTGTTACAAATGGCCAGATTTCATTCTTTCTCATTGCCAAGTAGTATTCCATTGTATATACAAACCGCATCTTCTTTATCCAACCCCTTCTTTAAAAGGATTCATTCACTCTGGGGCACCTGGGTGGCTCAGTCAATTAAGCGTCTGACTCTCGACTTCCGCTCAGGTCATGATATCACCATTTGTGAGTTGAAGCCCTGCATTGGGCTCTGTGTTGGCAGCATGGGGCCTGCTTGGGATTCTCTCTGCCCCTCACCTGCTCTTGCGCCCGCTCTCTCTCCAAATAAACGGTAAAAAAAAAAATAAAATAAAAAAATAAAAAATAAAAAACAAAAAGATCCACTCATTCTGATTAATGCTATATTTATGCAGCACTATCAGAAAAGCAGGAATTCTACAAAACTAAATAAAGATAGAGGTTTTAAGCATAACAAATGAATTTAGGAGGATCAGAAATTTTCCTAAAATGTGCTTTTTAAAAACCAATATAATAAAATTATCAATTCAGAGTCTGTGTCTCCCTCTCTCCCCACCTGCCATGCTCTCGCTCTCTCTCAAAAATGAATAAATGTTAAAAAAAAAATTAAAAATAAAAATATCAGAATGATTTTGATGCATAGGTACCATTATTATAAATATCAATCACCACATTGAAAACAGTCAGTGATATCTTTATATATAAATGGGGGATGCCAGGGGCGCCTGGGTGGCATAGTTGGTTAAGCATCTGACTTTTGACCTCAGCTCAGGTCTTGATCTCAGGGTCATGAGTTCAAGCCCCACACTGGACTCCATACTGGGTGTGGAGCCTACATACATACATACATATGTACGTATGTATGTACATGATAGGTGGGGTAGAGGGGGGTGGGGAGAGATAAAGAATGATACTGGAACCTCATTAAATGGCTCCAACAGGAATTTTTTTTAAGTTCTTATTTAACCAATATCTTACATTTTTGCTGTTTCCGCCCCCCCTCCCCCTTGGTTAGCTGTCAGGAACCCCTTCCTGTTACCGTAACAATGCCAAGTTTTAGAAGGAAGTAATGAAAGCCAAATTAATAGTATAAAATGCATACCCCATACGTGACACTTTTATATCTCTTAATTCATTTAGTCTTCCTAACTCTAAAGACTAGACTACACTACTTATTTTCACTTATTTCAGGTTCAAAGAAGTTCTCTGACCAAAGCCAAACAAACAATAAATGACACAACTGAAATTTAAAACTAAGATTACCTTTTCCTTCACATTTTAACATCTCTGAAATTAGGATGCATCCTATAATTAAAGGATGTCAAAATATTGACATAATTGACAGCCTCTTTTTTCTTAGTGGTACATACAGCAAAGGTATGATTCATAGCAGAGTCTCAGATAAAATCAAACAAGGTATTTACTGCCAAAACAAATCCCTCAATAATTTACCTGTAACTTCTTTTCTAATTTACTATTTTTTACTTGGGATGAACAACTTCACAAGATTACCAAACATATTATAACCATTAGCCCAACTAAAAGTAAGAGCTCCCCTGTGCTAAAATACATATTTTACCACCCAGCTCTGGGTATCTATTTTGAATCTAAATATTTTTGCTTATTTTCTCATTCTAAGGTCTATTTACATAGCTGAGTACGCTGAACATGTGAATTCTCCATAAGATACTATATGAAAAATTTTTGTTTGCTCAAAGGCTGAGGGGAGGCTTTCGAGTAGAAATTTGTGACAATATTATATTTTACCAACTACTTTTTACATACTTATTTTAAAAACCTATAACAAAAATATAAAAACCACACACATTAAAATAGCGAAAAATTGTACTTACACTTCAAAAGGGCTTTTTTTTATCCTTACGCTCTAAAACAATGGATATTTTTTTGGTGAGATACTGAAAAACCCGTTCCTTAGCTTAGTTTGGTCATGACACCAAAAGGACAAATCCATGGTCCTGAATATTTTCTACTACGTTTTCTTCCAGTTGACTAATCCTCTTTCAGCTGTGTCCAACTGGCAGTTAAAACCATCTATTGTGTTCTTAATTTTAGTTACTATATATATATATATATATATATATATATATCTCTTAAAGAGAGAGAATGTGAGCAGGGGAGAGGCAGAGAAAGAAAGGAAGAGAGTGTGGAGCCTGACTCAGGGCTCGATCTCATGACTTGGAGATCATGACCGGAGCTGAACTCGAGTCGGATGCTTCATGAACTGAGCCACTCAGTGCCCTAGTTACTATATTTTTCAGTTCTAGAATTTCTACTTAGTTCTTTTCTACAGATTCCAGTTCTCTAGTCAAATTCTCCACCTTGCCATCTATTTTCATGAATAGGTTATAGTATTTTAAAGCTCCTGTATGTAACTTCCGAGTCTGCATAGCCTATGCATAACCTATTTCTATTGTTGATTTATCTCTGACGGTCTTGTGTGTGCCTAGTAATTCTTTATTTAATGTTACACATTGTATGTGAATGGTTGCATGAAAATACGTATGGATAAATATAGAGGCTCTAGATGATGTTACCTTCTTCCAGAGATGATTTAATTTTTTTCTAGAGAGCAGTCAGAGTAGGAGCAGATCACCTAAATCCAATCAAGGACTGAGCTGGCATGAGACAGGGTTTCAAACACTGTGAAGACTGGCCTACCTCTGATTTGTTCCCACTCTTATGGTGTGCCCCCTTTCAAAGGATTCCAGCTGCAAACCTAAGGCTAGAACAATAACAAAAAACTATTGAAAACTCCACTCCACTTCCTTGCTTTTTGCTCATCTCTTCTACAATGTTCAGCTTCTATCCTCTTATCCAAAGTAACCTGAGAGTTTGAAAATGCCTCAAAAGGGAAAGTAGCACGGAATATGTCTATCTCCCTTTTCTCCTGGACCTTGACTCAAGTTACGACTGACTTCAAGGCTCTACAATGCCTTGAAAGCTGTTTGTTCCCTACATGTCAAGTAGTTCTCAGTGGGAGACTTAGTACACACACACACACACACACACACACACACACACACACACACACACACGGAATATTACACAGCCATAAAAAAGGATGAAATTTTTCCACTTTCAACAACAATGGATAGACCTAGAGGGTATTATGCTAAGTGAAACAAGTCAGAAAGGAAAAGACAAATACTGTATAGCTTCACTTATATGTAGAATCTAAAAAAACAAATGAATAAACAAAAAGCAGAATCAGACCTATAAATACAGAGAACAAACTGATGGTTACCAGAGGGGATGGGGTAGGGAGGAAGGGAAGTGAAAAATGGGTGAAGGAAAGTAGGAGATACAGGTTTTCTACCATGGAATCAATGAGTCACAGGAATAAAAGGTACAGCATAGGGAATACATATTGTAATAGTATTGTATAGTAACAGAAGGTAGCTACACTTGTGATGAGCACAGCATAACATATGGAGATGCTGAATCACTATGTTGTAGATGTGAAATGAATTTAACACTGTGTCTATTCAAATAAAAATTTTAATAAAAAATATGTAAAATAGATAATATATGTATTTCACCAAGCAAGGTGAATTTATAGGAGGCAATCAGTAAACTGTAAGTGTTGATTCCAACTAAGAAACCTGTTACTGTAGGGTCCTAAATGCTAGATTCCTTACATCTCAGTGAGCCCTAACATATTTCTGCCTTGACAGTTAGTAATCCATGCCATTTGTCTTAAAACATTAGATATTTAAGGCAAATTTAGCTATGGCCTATCTCACCTACCCTTTTGTTGTTGTAAGAATTTATACTAGAGACACTCTCCTTTGTCAAAATCCAAATCACCTTGTGCAGTAAAACGGAAAATCTAACAAGCTTGGGGGCTCAAACCTTGCACATTCCAAAGAAAGGACCTGCCTGTGAAGACTCCTGGGAAATAACTTCTGAGACCTTGGAATATTCTGCCTGGTAAGTCTCTTTGTATACCTGAGGTCTTGGGCCAGGTAACTTATGTCAATGATGTAAATTATGGTAAATCTGTTTTTGTATGCCTGAGGTCTGGGCCACAGTAGGACCTCAGAGGAGAGGAGGGATAAGGGAAGCTGCAGACTGAGTAGTTAAGATAGTCATATGGGTACTTTCCTGCCTATGTAAATGATCCCTGATGAAAACCCTGGATATCAAGACTCAGGTAAGCTTTCCTGGTTGACAACACTTTGCATATGTTGTCATACAAAGTGGCTGGTAGAAGGAAGCATTATCCATGCAATTCCACCGGGAAAGGACAACTAAAATCTTACACCTGGCCTCCATCCTACACATACCTTTCCCTTTGCTGATTTTAATTTGTATCTTTTCACTGTAACAAATCATAATCACGAGTTTTTTCTCTCTGCTTTCCTCTGATTTGTTTCCTTTGAGCAAAACACCAAGCCTGCGGACAGTCTTAGGAACCTCCCCCCCACCCCTGCCACCACACTCCTTCAAAAAACCTATATGCCCAAACAAAAACTCTTAAGGGCTGGTAGCTCACAACTACTAAGTTTTCAACTCCAATATTATCAAACATAGTGGCG